GGAGGACGAGGAGGACGAGCAGGGAGGAAGAGAGGAATGACGGAAGCGAAAGAAGGGGGAGGATGGCCAGAGCAAACCAAAGCTCCACCAACGATGTTGTACTAACCCCTCCCTCCAAATTCCCTCTGAATGGATTCACTCCGTACGGCCCCGTTGGAAGACAAACGCTTGAAAATCTTCAACCGTGCCAAAGCACCAGACCTGGGACTTCAACGCCTCGTATCCACGTCACTGTTGCGACCTGACGATTTAAATCGTACAAGAACGCAGTTTTTTTGCTGCTTTCGGACGTGAATACGGCGGATCAACGTGACTGTCGCGTCCTGACAATCCTAGATCATGCCAAGCAGCAGATCTGGAACGTCAACCAAAGCAACACTTGACACTGATATAAACTGGCAAGACAAACGTGCACGGCGCTAAGGCGAGAATAATCACGTTTTGAAAAAGAACCGCTCTCCATCCGTGAAAACCGGGCAAATGTTTAAACATAATGTGCACGGTGCCATAGCGAAAACCACCTTTTGAAATCGACCCAGCGAGAACCGCATTTTGAAACCGACCCAACGAGAACCGCATTTTGAAAAAGGTCCGCCTACATCCGTGCAATTGTTGCAACATTTCGAGCTTCAAGATCAAGAGCGGCGAAGAAGACGCAAACGAAACGCCCCGCCCGCCCTTCCGACCCGTCTCGGAATGCGACAGGGAGTTATTTGCAAGGACGATGGATGAGTGAGAAGGAGGAGGAAGAGGAGGAGGAGGAGGAGGAAGAGGAGGAGGAGGGGCATGAGGGAGGAGGCAGGAGGAGAAGGAGGAGGAGGAGGAGGAGGAGGAGGAGGAGGAGGAGGAGGAGGAGGAGAGGGAGGAGGAGAAACAGGAAGAGCGAGGAGGACGAGAACGAGGAGGAAGGAGGGCGCAAGATGCGTATCGCCCCCCCCCCCGCGCGCCGCGGGCCCCCCCCAGCTCCCCACGCCGCGTCGCCGCCGCGCCGCCTCCCGGGCCCACCGTCTCCCCCCCCCCCGCCCAGGCCCGCCGATGGGGCCGCACGCTGGCACTGGCCGCAGGGTCGACCGTCGACGCAGGCCCCGAACGCATGGAGAAGCTCGGCGTGGAAGTCTCCTCCTCCTACTCCTTCTCCTGCTCCTCCTCCTGCTCCTCCTCCTGCTCCTCCTCCTCCCTCCCCCTCCATTCTTTCTCCTTGTAGATAACTCCTCCCGGTCGCACCCCGAAGCCAATTTTCAGGGCGGGCCGGGCGTTTCGCCTGAGACTTCCTCACCATGTATGATTTTGAAGCGTAAGAAGTGATAACCTATTCACAGATGGAGGGCGGGTCGTTTTCAAAATGTGGCTCTCGCCCCAGAGCCGCGCACACTCGTTCAAAAATGTGAAAGAAACACGGATTGAGGGCGGGTGGTTTTCAAAATGTGGCTCTCGCGTTAGCGCCGCGCACATTCGCATTCAAAAATTTGCAAGAGCATCACGGATTGAGGGCGGGTGGTTTTCAACATGTGGCTCTCGCCTTAGCGCCGCGCACATTCGATATAAAATCTTACACGAGCTTCACGGATTGAGGGCGGGTCGCTTTCAAAATGTGGTTCTCGCCGTAGCGCCGCGTGCATTCGTTGTGAATAGTTGCAAGAGCTTCACGGATTGAGGGAGGGTGGTTTTCAAAATGTGGCTCTCGCCCTAGCGCCGCGCACATTCTTTTTAACAGTGTACAAGATTGTCACGGATTGAAGGCGGGTGGTTTTCAACATGTGTTTCTCGCCTCAACGCCGCGGACACTCGTTTTAAACATTTGCAAGAGTTTCACGGGTTGAGGGCGGGTCGTTCTCAAAATGCGGCTCTCGCCTCAGCGCCGCGCACATTCTTTTTCAAACATTGCAAGAGCTTCACGGATTGAGGGCGGGTGGCTTTCAAAATGTGGTTCTCGCCTTAGCGCCGCGCACATTCGTTTTCAACATTTGCAAGAATTTCACGGATTCCCATGATCAGCGTACCAAGAAGGATTTGGCGGGTGCAACAGTTATGTTGGTTCGCGGTGTTGAGGTCCCAGAGATGACGCTCTGGCACGATTCCGGGTCGTCAAGACGCAGCAGTCAGGTTCAAACGTGGCGTTGAGATCCCGAGAAAAATGTTTTGGCACGTTTCAGGATCTTCAAACGGTTGTCTTCCAACGAGGCAGTTCCCTCAATGGAAATGAGCCGCTGTGGGGGCCTATGAAGAGCGAGCTTGGAGGGAGGGTAAATTCCAACATCGTTGATGACTCTTGGTTTTACACTGGTCCTCCTCCTCCTCCTCCTCCTGCTCCTCCTCCTCCTCCTCCTCCTCCTCCCCCTCCCTCCTCCCTCATGCCCCTCCTCCTCCTCCTGCTCCTCTTTCTCTTCCTCCTCCTCCTCCTCCTGCTCCTCCTGCCTCCTCCCTCATGCCCCTCCTCCTCCTCTTCTCCTCCTCTCTTCCTCCTCCTGCTCCTCCTCCTCCTCCTGCTCCTCCTCCCTCCTCCCTCATGCCCCTCCTCACTCAGCCTCCTCCTCCTCCTCGTCCCTCCCTCCTTCCCTCCCTCCCTCCCGCCCGCCCGTTCGGCGATGCTAAAAGGGGGGGGCGATAGATGGGGGGGAAGAAACGTGTACCTTTCGTGCCCATTTTTTGGCCCCCTAGGGCGCCCGTTCAGGGCTTCAGGGCTCCTTGAGGGCACGCGATGTGCAGCTTTCTCCCCCTCCCACCCCCGTCCGTTTGTCGCACCCCGCTTTCTCGACGCCCGAGCTCGAACGATTTCGCAGGCTCTGGGAAGGCTTCCCGATCTCGGGGTGCTCTCGAGGTTTCCTGGGCCGAGCGCGCGCTGTCAGGCCAGCCGATCGTGTCGCGCTGACACCGGCCGCAAGGCCTGCCATCGAGGCCTCCAACGCACCGAGAAACTAGAGACACAAGCGGCATAGACATAAGATGTTGGAGGTCCTCGCGGATCGGATTTCTTGGATCGGCGCCAGACTGGCCGGCGCCTCCAGCGCCGCCAGGCAGGGGGGTGCAACTCCAGTCGACGAAATGCGCGCGGAGCTCCGGAAGTTCACAGTCGGATCCAGGCCAGAAGAGCACCCTTCAAGAAAGGAGACCCTCCGTCGGCCAAAACAAACAAAACATCCAAGGGTACCCTCCCCAGAATGCACAAACACTTGGCGCCGGCGGTAAACCGTCGACCTTGGTTACCGCTGGGAGACTCGTAGAACTTCCGTGCCATCTCTGTGAATGGCACGCGCGCGCGGCAGTCTCGCATTCAGCGCGCGCGCGAGAATGTGCGGTATCATGGAAATGTGCTTGACAGCTCCGTAGCTTGCCAACAGCTCGAGTTGAGTTGAGACGACCACCCACGCAAGAAAGTACACGACTCAAGTTGAACTTTTTTTTCAAAAAATAGCTGTCAATCTTGATCAGAAGAAACTCTCTCGCGCCAAGTGTAGATGCGCACGGCCATTTCCTATCGAATGGTGTGTTTGACAGCTTCGTTGCTTGCCAACAGCTCGAGTTGAGTCGAAACAACCACCCACGCAAGAAAGTATTCGGCTCAAGTGGATCAGTTGCTTAAATATTATCTGACAGTTTAGACAATAAGAAGCTATCTCGCGTCGCGTGTAGATGCGCACGGCCATTTCCTGTCGAATGGTGTGCTTAACAGCTTCGTAGCTTGCCCACAGCTCGAGCTAACTTGAAACAACCACCGTCACAAGAAAGTACACGCTCAAGTTTAAGTATTTTTAAAGATTGTTTGTCAGTCTTGATCATGGGAAGCTCTTCCGCGCCACGTGTAGAGAGCCTCGGCATCGCTCGGAGGTGTGCATGTTTTCGTCGTCGTCGTCGTCCGCACCAGGATCTGGGGGCGAGTCCGGCCGCGGCGACGGGGAGCCCAGAGGAGGACCAGGACGTCGTCGTCGTCGTCGTCGTCATTGTTGTCGTTGTCGTCGTCGTTGTCGTCGTCGTCGGGGGTGGGGAGAAGAAAAAAAAACACGCACCCGAACGAAACATGCACTGGGAATGGACGCCCGAGCGATGGCGAGGACGACGGACGACGGACGACGGCGACGGACGACGACGGACGCGGACAACGGACGACGACGACGACGCCGACGATAGACGACCATGACGACGGGGCATGCCGATCAAGAGCAGGACCACGGTAACTGCGGGACGCGCGAACAGACTCAGGATCCACCCTTGCTCTAAAAACACTGTTTGTGGATACTGCACTCTGGTTACAATGCGATGATCGGGCACAGGAGGAGAAGAAGCTCGATAGACACGAAAGGGGGGAAGAAGGAGAAAGAACCAAAGAGAGAGGGATAGAGAGAGAGAGAGATAGAGAGAGAGAGAGAACAAAAAAGGATGTCGTGGAATCAAGCGAGAGAAAGAGCGAGAGAGAGAGAGAGAGAAAGACACAGAGAGAGAGAGAGAGAATCAATTCCATGCGCGAACTAGGTCCGCCACCGTGCCACTGGGCACGGAGTGGGCGTGTCCTGAAGTCCTTTGCCCAATCCCTTCAGCCTCAGTCCTCACTCCTGAGGAGTCTTGAAGGGGCCCGGGCCCCAATTGCCAGATCCTCTTGGCCTTGGCGCCTCCTCCTCCTCCTGAACTCCTCCTCATCCTCCTCATCCCCGTCCCCCTCCACCTCCTCCTCCCCCTCCCCCTCCTCCTCCTCCTCCTCCTCCTCCTCCTCCTTACCCGCCCCGGTACGCAACACGCAGCACGTAGCGTTTGACACGGAGCTCAACACGCAGACCGAAAGCGTGTGTCTGGCGCGATGCGTTCGCCAAGACGTGGGCCAACACGTGGAGCCAACACGCAACGTATTGACACGCACGTCTCGAACACAGCACGTGTTGCGTTTCAAAACGGGCGCATCGAGGCAACGAAAATTTATGACCCGTCCATGCTGGCGTGCAGTGACATCGCGCCCTGCTCCCATGCACTCCCCAGTTCCACGGGCCGCTGCAAGGAAAGCGGCAGCGAACCCTCTCACTTGGTCGAACTTGAGGACGCGCACCCGGAACGTCCTCGCGGGTCGCGACTTCTCTTTGGACCCGTGCGATGACATACACATGCGCATGGACCACCGCGCTCTGCAGAAGGGGGACGACTACGGCCCCCTCTTGCGCACCTGAGGCTGCTGCCCCACGCGAGGCGCCGACGGGCCCACTCGTGCGCAGGGCCGGCGCGCTTCGGAATCAGCCCCCAGATCAATATCAGTCCCCTCCTCCATTGTCCCTCTCGGAACATCCTCTTCCTCCTCCTCCTCCTCCTCCTGGCGCGTAGCTGATCCTCCTCCTCCTCCTCCTCCTCCTCCTCCTCCTCCTCTTCCCCCCCCCGTCTGGCACGAGGGGGGGAACCGCTCCTCGACCCCAGACCTCCGACGTCGTGATTTTGTTATATCGTTGACCCCCACGAGGTCTGGACCCCTTCCCCGGGACCGGTTTTTCATCCTGAATCTTTTTTTGACGCTCCCGAGGCCCGGTAAGGGCCCCCAGAGGCCGAAATGAGAGAGAGAGAGAGAGAGAAAACAAAAAAACCTTCCGTCGTGTTTTTCACAGCGCGAGGGGGGCTGGGACCCCGTGGCCCGCCGCTCGCAGCAGGCTGGCCTTTGGGAGGCCCTGGCTTTCCCGAGGCCTGCAGGTCCTGGCCTCAGCGCCCACTGGGGGCCCGCTCGGGCTGTTTCGCAGGCCCCCCCCCCCGACCTCTGTTCCAGCGCGCCTGCGGCCAGGTGCAAGCCCAGACTGTACCCAGGAGGACCTCGCAGATCTCAGACGATATTCTTTTCCAGCCCCAAACCTCCTCGCGCTGTGAAAAAAAATCACGACGGGAAATTGTTTTGCTATTTTCGGCCTCCGGGGGCCCTTACCGGGCCTCGGGACCGTCAAAAAAACACTCAGCATGAAAAGCCGATCCCGGGGAAGGGGCCCAGACCTCTGGGGGTCAAAGTTGCGAAAAAATCATGACCTGTGGGGGTCTGGGTCAGACGATATGCTTTTCCAACCACGGCGCTGTTCCTGGATTCCTGTATCCTGGGGGGCCGCTTTCGGGCCGCAGGACAATCGAGCACGGATCCGCGGCGCAGGAAGCATCTCCGGGGAAAGGGTCGGACCACTGGGGCCGCGCAGCGACAAACAAGACCACACCGTCGGATGTCCGCGCTCGCGCGCACGATTGCCAGGGGCACCCACGAGGCCAAGCGGAACCCCAGGATGACGCAGCCCCTGTGAGGTGTCGCATAGGCCACGACTCCAGCCACGCGGGGCGCCAGAACGCGGCCGATGGGCGCCCCGGGGTGGGCCCCGAGGCCCCTCTCCAGGATGCGTCTGTTCTGGGGTGCGCTAGGCCTCCCTCGAACATCCACAAGGCTCGCCTCGTACGACGAGCGAACAACACACACACACACACACATACACACACCCATACTCATAGGCGGTCGGAACGGAGGGGGCCAGGAATGCGTGTCGTCGGGTGGGAGCCCCCGCCCGAACGGAGCCCCCCCCCCCGGGTCCGACAACCTGCACCCATACCCATAGCCACTCCTCCCGCCGACGCCTCTATGGCTATGGATGTGTGTGTGTGTGTTTTAGAAGAAGAAAAAACGCTGTAAACATAAACTTTCGGCGCTCCGCACGGATTTCCTGGATCTGCGCCGGACCCCTCTCCCTGGCGCGCGGAACGCGCCAGGGGCGGCGCCGGAGGCGCCGCCGGGGGGCCCCAGCAAGAAATTCGAGCGGGGAGCGCCAAAAGTTCATGTTTTTTTGTTGTTCTTCTTCTTCTTCGATGTCTTGTTCGTTCGTCATCGTACCTCGTGTCTTGTCCAATGCATGCCCGTGGCCCGAGGTCGCGCGGTCCCGTGCACGTCCCTGTGTGCTGCTGCCGGGCGTCTTCGGGGCGCGCGTGCGGGAGCCCTCGCGCGAAGGAGCGCCCAGTTCAAGGAGCCCAAGGACACACAACTAAATACACACAGATCCCAGGATTCCTGACATTTTTTTTTTTTTTTTTTTTTTTTATATTTTCTGGATTTTCGTCTTCCCCCCCACTTCCCATATTGTTCTATATTTTCCGGGGCGTCGACGATTAATTGTGTCTACTTGTTTACCCTCCTGACCAGTGTGGGCCCGCCCGAAGGCCGAGGGAGAGGTGGGGCGCAAAAGCCACCAAGAATGAAGTCGGCTCCATGCAAGAGGGACCCTGGGCAAAAGTGAGCTTTGGTGCGCGGACTACAGTCGGACTTGATCGGGCAGGACACGCGAGAGGACACGAGACCCTTCCGAGGGCCACGTCGCCAGAGGAGTGTAGGGGGCATGGGTCGCGAGGCACAGGGCATAACGGTACCCTTGATTTGGCAGGGTCGATCTACTAATGAAGGCCGAGTGCAAGGGGGGCGCAAGGTGGCCAAACCCAAGCGCGCAGTCAGCCGTCATCGCTTCGCGCTCGGCAATCGGGGGGTCCCCGATGAGCCCGCACCAAAAGTCAATCCTGCGAAGGGCCACTCTTACGTGCAGTCGAGGAAACATGTCCTGAGGGATGCAAGCCTTAGACGCCCAAGCTTGCTTCCCCGAGGACCAGCTCTTCATCCCGGAAGCCGTTGTCTAACCCAGACCCCCGACGTCGTGATTTTTTCACAATGTCAACGCCCAGAGGTCTGGGCCCCTTCCCTAAGACCGGCTTTTCATCCTGAATCGTTTTTTGACGCTTCCGAGGCCCAGTTAGCCCCCCCCCAGAAGCCGAAAATCGAGAAACACCTTCCGTCGCGTTTGTTCGTTATCCGAGAGGGTCTGGGGAGGACCAGCTCTTCATCCCGAGAGCCGCTGTCTGACGGTCCTGGTGGCCCGTGGAGAACCCCAGGAGTCCGAGCGCGGCGAACCACTCCCACGACACCCCCATTCCTCTGGGGCCCGCTCCCCTAGTGCCGACGGGGGTGCTTCGCACAGAGGGAGGGGCCTCTTGCAAACAAGGGGTCGGTTTCCCAGTCCGTGCCAATGGGGGCCACGAGAATCACGACGGGTTTTTTTCGCCATTTTCGGCCTCCAAGGGCCCCTAACGGGCCCCGGGACCGTCAAAAAATGACTCAGGATGAAAAGCCGGTCCCGGGGAACGGGCGGGACCTCTGAAAGTCGAGGTTGTGAAAAATCACAACGTCGGTGGTCTGGGGACGGGGCTCTTGCAAACAAGGGCTGGCTTCCCCGGCAATGCCAAGGGGGGGCCACCACTGCGGGGGTCGCCCCCCCAGGAAACGGGCCTCCCTGGACTCCCCCGACTCCCATAAACGCCCGAGAACGCCCCACAAACCCGCTCAATCATCGATCCTTCCTCCGTTTCCGAGGGGAGGTGCTGAACCACCCGTAGTGGTGTCTCCCCTTCCCAGACCCCCAACGTCGTGACTTTGTTGACAACCTCGGCCCCCAGAGGTCTGGACCACATCCCCGGGACCAGTTTTTCGTCCTGAATCGTGTTGTGACGGTCCTGAGGCCTGGCAGGGGGCCCCGGAGGCTGAAAATAGCGAAAAACCTCCCGTCGCGATTGTTGTCGCCACGCAAAGGGGTCTGGGTTCCAGGCCCCCCGCCGACCCGATCTGTGAAATCCGCGGCTCGGTCCACAGGCTCCCCTGGGCAGAATACACAGCCAGGAAAAGTTATGACAAAATCAGCACGACGATCATCGTGAATGATCTGCAGAGTGCAACGCCCAAAGATGATCATTCAGTGATATTAGCCTTTCATTGTTGGCGGCGCGCGCAGGCGTGCGCCATGGGCCAGGTCACTGACATGCCACACTTTTGGCTTGCGCGCCCAGTGGCAACATTGGGAGGCGGACGCCACTTGACGCCCGGGTGCTCTTCCAAGCTGATCCTTCACAGGGCCGCTGGCGTGGGCGGGTCCACGTTCTGCCTTGCGGTTTCGTTCCCACCCGTCGCATGGCCAGCGTGCAACGCGCAATGCAGACGATACGTTTTCCCGCAACATCGACAGGCGGATGTCACTTGATGCGACCTGTCCTGCCTAGTCTGACTACCTACCAGACCACCCCAACCCAACCCGAAGACCCGAATTTGACCCGAATTTCGGGTTGGGGGGGGTACGGGTTCCATGTGTTTTTTTCAAGGTTCCCCGACCCCCCCCCCCCACTGGAAATGGAGGGCAAATTGAGGCCTTCGGGTTGGGTTGGGGTGGTTTGGTAGGTGGTGATAGTCTGATTCAACAATCATTCGGCTTCCATCCCTGTGCCACTTTTGGGAAGGCGAAAACCCACCCCCACCCCCAGTCCCGACCCCATCCTGGAACCCGCGACCCAGGGGGTCGGGACTGGGGGTGGGGGTGGCTTTTTGGGGCCCAAGAATGAAGAAAACCCACCCCCACCCCCAGTCCCGACCCCTTGAATCGCCGGCTCGGGGATGGGAGTCGGGATTGGGGGTGGGGGTGACTTTTCGCCTTCTGAACTTTTGCTATACACTTTTTCCACGGGGAGGTGCACCTCCCGCCCCCGGACGGGCCGACGGAGGGCGCCCGAGGCCCGACGTCCGGGACAAAAATCTGCCGTGCGCGCAGCTGCGGCGCCGTCGGAGAGCTGGGCCGGCCCCGCCCAAAGCCCCTGCCCAGACACGCACAGGATGGAGGAGGAGGAGGACTCCTCCTCCTCCTCCTCCTCCTCCTCCTCCTCCTCCTCCTCCTCCTGAGGAGGAGGAGGAGGAGGGAGGACGGAGCGGAGGCGGCGGAGAAGGATGGAGAAGGAGGGGATGAGCTGTGGGCAATTTCGCAGGCAGGGCGGACACTTCCGCCCCACTTGCCGTCGCTGCTTCCTCCACACCTCTGGCGGAGCTGTCCTCCCTGCCTTTCTGAGGCGGACGCACGCATCCGCCCTACTCTTTCGCAGCTATTTTGGTGCATCTCCGATGCAATTGCAGTCCGGAAAATCAACATACGACGGATCCGGAAGCAGGGTCGGCGACGGCTGCCCCAGGCGGGATACAGGCCTGCCTCGG